CGGTGGTTCTGATAGCGCCAAAAATTGGAAAAACATAATTGTTTTTGCACAAAATCAATTTGAAAACACGATTAAGAGGCATCGCGAGAATGAAAGGGGGACAACTCATATCGAGTTATACTTATTATAAAACCCAGGTTGTTTGTGTGTGTTTTTTCGTTTAGATATGGCGACATGATGTCAATAGTCCGACTAATGTAAATTAGTAAATGTAGAGAGCGTGATGTTATTACGGTTAACCCATAACAGATCGGAACCAGTGAGAAACGAAGGTCTCCTATTGAATATCGAAAATCAAATGAAAAGTAGAAATAATATCATTACATTGCTAGGTGAAGTTTTCGTTTTACGAGCAGAACACCAACTCACACATATCAGACCTGTTCATAAAGTACAATATTTAATATTAACGAGCAGGGACATTAACAAGTGCTACCACCCGGGTCAAGATGAACCTGGAAACATCAACAATTAAGAGGTGGTTCTGCTCCCCTCAAAAGCTCTCGTTCAGAGGCCTTGCTGCCGGGTGTAGTTTATCGTCATACTTGGGATAAGGATGATAGTGAAAAGATTATTGGTTCTAATAATCCGCCCATAATATTTCAGTTTTCTTCTTGACAGTGGATATGACGTCTTCCAACGGGTCAGTTCCTTGTCTGAATGTGTCTCGCGCTGCGTCATTTGTGATGGCTTATGTAAGAATTGCCAAAGATGGACCCATATTTTTTTTTAATCCTATATTTCTAATCCAGGGATTATTCGCTTGCCACTAATTCCCTAGATTTGCAGGGATACAGAAAAAGTGAGAAGGCCAATAAATACATCAGTTTTGTGATTTCAAGCAGATATTCTTGTCTTTCCAGATCATTCTCAATTTGCTAGCGTCCTCGGTATGACGATAAACTACGTCCAACAGCAAGGCATCTGATAAAATGTTTTTGAAAAAATAATGTTGTTAGCTATACGTTTTTGAAAAAATAATATCACCAGGTATACATTTTTGGAAAAATATTATTACCAGCTATACATTTTTGGAAAAATATTATTACCAGCTATACATTTTTGGAAAAATATTATTACCAGCTATACATTTTTGGAAAAATATTATTACCAGGTATACATTTTTGGAAAAATATTATTACCAGGTATACATTTTCTGAGAAAAAATATTAACAGAAATAGATTTTTGACAAAGCAAAAATATTACCAGAAAAAAAAAAAGTTGTCGGCATTAAATGACCCATTGAGGTCGATATGCCGTAAAACAAAACAAACGAAAACAAACCTCAATTTGCTAAAGCTGCCATGGTTTGTACTTCTCTTGAGATTATTTCTATCGTAGAGTTCCCTCCCATTGATAATCCAACCAAGACCTTTGGCTCACTACTTTACTGACCACCGACTTTTACCTTCGTTGAAAATCTGTTATCATTATTCCTTATGAGTCTTTTTTTTTTTTTGTCCCGGAATTAATCTCCGACATTGATCACCAATATATGACGTTTTCTGTATGAAAAGCTTCTATTTTTTCAACAACTTCATAAAGCAAGCATAAAGACGTTCATAACTCATTCTCAGCTGCTCTAAGGAAATGCATCCTTGTAAATATGAATGAATGAATAAATAGGTGTCCTTGTGTATTACAAGGTCGGCACTGTCAGAGGGAAATTAATTATTAAGCTGATACAAATGTTTCTATGACTAACTCTTAGAAACTCAGAGACACTATTATTAAGTCATCGAAGCAATTCTTCTGGCTTTCTATAACCTTACATCAATTTGTATCTAAATTCTATATACTATCATAAAACGAGGCATATTTGGTATTTTAAAATTGTTGGAACCGTTGCCCATAAAACTTAAAGAAGGAAGGAATCAGTAAACCGAAGATGACAATTCTGGTGACTATGTTGCAAGAAGAACTTCTAAATCTTACTCTGTATAGTATAACTGGTCACTCGTATTCGTGAATACCCGTCCGCTAGCCAATCCCTACTGCAGACGCTTGCTCAGGCGCATTTTTCTTTGTCCAACACCCACAGAGCCCACCTGTGGTTTATACTGCAACTATGCTGAGCAGACCTTAGTCACAGTTTATGAGAGAGAGCGTGTTATCTAGCGTGATCAACAATTTGAACAATAACATCAGGAAGTATCCTTACTGACAAATCGATAATGGTGAGATTCGAACCCGAGTCTCATGGCCAGAATGTAAAGGTTCTAACAACTTGGCCACGTGCCCAATAAATCTTACTCTGTAATAATTATTATTATTATTTTCATTATTATCATCATTAGTAGTAGTAGTAGTAGTAATAGTATTATTATTATTATTATTAGTAGTAGTAGTAGACCGATAATGTGAGCAACGACGAAATTTTAGAGAAAATGGAAAACAAAAGAAAATTTATACTTAACAGTTGAAATTTCTGGAGCACATAATGAGGAAAGAGGACTTGGAAAATCTGATACTCTCAGGACAGATTGAAGGTAAGAAGGACAGACGAAAACAACGCTTAACATACTTTGCTTGAGTAAATGAAATGACAGGACAGGGTTTAGGAGAAATACCAAAACGCCAAAATCTATCTAGAGTGACAAAGGACAGGGCTTAATAAAATGAGGGCAATAGTCCCAATATAAATAGGGTAAATAATAATAACTCCTCATTCCAGAAATTCAGACAAAAGTCTTTTAGGTTGCAAGAACAATTCCTTTTTTCTATTTTTTCATTTTGAAATGTGGAGAAATGTAAAGAATCCAGCTGGAATTCGAACTCGACTCTCCGATTTCTCATTCCAAGCGCTTCCCCAATACAAACGAATGTTTAGCTGTCATACTTCTTCCAGTTATTTGTTATATCAATAAAAAAAAAAATACAACTCACTTTTCAAATAAGGATTTTTTTTTTCGAGCAGAACAAAAAGCGAAAGAATGAATCGGATTTCCGTTCGTATTTGATGTCAAACCAAATTAATTTATCCTGGAAGGCTTTTTCCCCCACTGTTGTCCTTCAGAAATCTTATTAATCTCTTTTTCTACCTCATTGACTGGAGAGTGTTAAACCGAGGTGACAAGGATCTGCTTTCTTGTTGCGTGGCGTAACTGAGAGGAAAATTATATAATCCCCTGATGACGGACTGGCGCGAAAATTTTTGTAATCATATTTTCCTATTTCATTTCATTGTGTCAAGCTTTTGTTTGAATAATATTATATAAATTTGAGTAGAGCCTTCATTTGAATCTCCTCGCCAGTAACATCTAACGGATTATATTGGAGATTAAGTGACTACAAGTCGAATCAGTACGTCGGCATTCGCTACTCTTGCTGGTTCAATAAGGTTTTCTTTTTTGTTCTCCAAATGCAAAATCTAAGAGCCAGTCAATGTAGAGCATCTCTGAATGTAGTTGTTGTATCAACATTGAAGGAAGAAGTAAGTGCAGATTAGGAGGATACATATAAGATGGATAAAAGTTGACGCTAGACTTGAAGTGGTTAATTGCTGTAATTGGGAAGCATCCCCTCAGGAGTCTCTTCCACGGCATAACAGTCCCGAGAACAAACCTGTTTGAGTCGAACTTCCTCCTTACTAATGAAATACGAAGGGAATGAGAATGGGCCAACTGTTTTTATTGATTTATTTGTTTGTTTAACGGCACATCAACTTCTTCATGAGTCATTTAATGCCGAAATTTAATTTTCTTGGGAGCCTGAAATTAATATAAATATGATATATGTTATTCTGCTTTCACAACTGAATACATGGTAGATGATACTCAGCTTTTGTGCATATACATGTTTGTGTGGGCATAATTAGTTGAGGCGGTGATATGTGTATTTCCTGTTGTAGTTTTGTTGAAGTTATATTTTGGAATACAGTTTGATTTTAGAAATTGTAGGATGTTACATGGACTAATGCTATGAAAGATTTAATTTTTGGTTGTTTGGTAGTATTTTAAATGGATTGGGTGAAGTCGCAAAAATTTGTTAGTACATGCTTATTGTCGGAGGTAGGTTGGAGTAATGGATAGCGACTCGGACTGAGGAAATGGACGAACTGGGTTCGAATTCGAGTCGAATCCATTTCACTTACGTGAAATATAAATCCTCTTTTTCTCCCTATGGGTAAATTGTAACGAAAGACATGACATACCTCGGAATTCGAAACGAGCGCAAACGTGTCCTGCCTGCAAAGTGATGACAAAAAGAAATATGGCCACTATTGAAGACACAATTTATGCGCGCCTATCTCGTCCAAAACGAGAAGATATCTGCACACATGCAAATTTTGGCCGTACCAGAATAGCATAAAAAGCGGGGTGTCAGGAAATCATTCGACGGACTGCGTGTGTTAGAGTTGGACGGATTGACAGACAGACAGAGAGAAAGCTGAAGTAGGCGCGGCTGACTTGGTGCCTGTTTCACAACTGCCCAGTGTAACGGCTGAGAAAGGGAGCCATGCAATGCATTTCCTTCAGGCAACCGAAGAAGAAGAAAGAATAGCTGGCATGCCGGTGAGCGTCGTACTGCACTTTTTGACAGCCATCATCATCATTTTTTTCCTACATAAATAGCAGGACAGACTGGGTTTTATTATTGTCTTAGACAGATTACCTTAGTTGTCAATCGGTCTAGAAGGTAACTCTGAATTCAAAAAACGGCCTGGTGAGTTTTGAGCTCCGTCATTTTAGTATAAAATTGATAATTTTCTATATATAAAAAGTTATTATTGTTATTTTTACTATGAAAATATATTTTTATACTTCCATAGTGTCTTCTTTTGGGGAAATAGGCTGTAGTGTTGGAAGATAATTTGTCATGCAGTTCTGTTTACCAATTAACGTTTTAGTGATACAAATCTTACAAGTTAATAAACCCTTTAGGAAGAAGAGTTGGATTCATGCCTTTCCCAAGGGTATTTGCGCCTAAGTGGATATAACAAATTCAATGGGCATTGTAACTCGGTTCTCTGATGCATTACACCCCATGCACATGCAAGCTTACAGCACCTTGTATTCCCAAACTGTAACCCATATAGATACTAACCAGGCTCGACGTTGCTTAACTTCGGTGACCGTATGGGTCCAGGTCTGGAGTGATCTTTCTAACAGATGGCATCCTAACAGGTGTTACCACCCCGAGTCAGGGTGGACCTGGAAACAACAGCAATTAAGAGATTGTTCCATGCTCCTGAAAATATCCAATCTCCCGATCAGATGACACGCTGTCGGAGTCGACTGTGTCCATGGAATGGCGGGTAGTAGTGGTGAAGGTCAGGATTCGTAGAACTAAGGCATGGAGCTCGTCCGAATTTCTGCTATGACGATAGCGATAGTGCAGGGAGAGGCTAGCAAGGCATCGCCTGTTTGAAAGCGGTTGTATGGTGGAAAATCATCACACACAAAGCCGCTTAAATGCTTTTAAGCTTGTCTATGACGGAAAGTGATGATTGGGTAACACCAGCCTCGATATGACAGCAATACTCCATTTTTTATTCTGATATGGCTCTTGTAAAGATGTGGTATGGCCGGATAAAGCGGTATCAGGAATCAATAATTGTTGCAGTAGCATTAGCGATGGATCATATATTCGAGTTCTACTTCAGGTCTGGATTGATTTATTGATTTGGCATCGACGGATTATCAAACCTCAAATCATTTCCTGGCTTTTATTTAAAGCCAGGAAATCTTTTGAAATTGTAAGATTTTATTTCGTTTGAGATAAAAATGGTTTAGTAATACTATATATATTAGTCTTACTAATTAATATATTAATATATTAATATATTAGTCTTACTAATTAACACATAGAGAGAGTGATTTCATAACTTTCCGAACGGTATTTTTTTTTAGATAATAATGGTTTAGTGATACATATTTTACTAATTAACCCATATCTAGGGGAGAAGAGGTGGATTCATACCTTTACAAAGTGTATTTGCGCGTAAGTGAATATAACGAACTCAAATGGAATTGGAATTCGGTTGTCCGATTAACAATTCTGAGTCATTATCTATTACACCACCCGCACATCCAAGATTACAGTTCGTATCCTCAAGCTGTCACCCATCTAGGTACTGACCAGGCTCAACATTGCTTAGAGCAAACCGTGGGTCAGTTTAGATGATGAGGAAACGTTACTAGTTTGCGATTTGGACGTATTGAATGTTACAATCCACATAGGCATTTAGGAAATGATCCTGGCGTGCCATTTGTATGCATGTTCAGACACGTCAAGGTTTATTGTAACAAGGCAGAAACTTTATCAACCGAGATAATTCCTATTTGCGATAATTTCATATAAAACACTCGATAAATTAATTATACTTAATCGATACGCAGCCTTTTCTTGTTCAGTTCAAGCGTCAGCCCACTTAAAATTTTCCATTTTAGGTCTAGTCTGGCACTTCTAAAGATGGGGCATGGCAGGAAAAGTCAGGTAAAAATAACTGACCCTTTTCCCAGCCTCTTTGGCGATGTATGATATATATATATATATATATATATATATATATATGAGTTTCCTTTGAGATCTAGAGGGTGAGGTTCTAGTCTAGGGGTCTCAACGGGAGAACGATAGTTTATCATGATTGGATAAAACTTGAGGTCTACTCTATGATGATGAAACATGTCTAACTTCGCTTTGGAGTTATTAAATGTTACAAACTAGTTTCTCTTATCAATTGAGCGGTTAGAGCCAGGTGAGAATAGAGATCAGCTTTCAGGCTCCGGTGATTGATACCTTTATCTGACTTCGGTAGGTATGAGGGATAGTCTAAAGGTTTTCAGATACAAATTGTTAATCACACGACAGCAGAATATTTTTGATTTGTTTTGTTTAGAGTCTGGCAACGATTTCGTTTGTGGGAAAGAGGCTGTAGTAATGGAAGATGAATCGTCATCCAGTTCTGTTTACCAATTAACGGTTTAGTAATAAAAATCTTACAAGTTAATTAACCTCTGAGGTAGAAGAGGTTGATTCCTGTCTTTCCCAAGGGTATTTGCGCCTAAGTGGATGTAACAAATTTAATGGGCATTGAAACTCGGATCTCTGGTGAACAATTCCCAAACAATTATCCATTACAAAACCCGCATATGCAAACTTACAGCACCTTGTGTTCCCAAGATGTAACCCATTTAGATACTGACTGGGCTCGACGTTGCTTAACTTCAGTGATCGTACAGGTCCAAATCCGGAATGAGCTTGCGTCCTAATAAAACCTTCCATGTATAAAATATATCGTATATATGAGTTGCCTTTGGGATATAGTTGGCGTCCCAGGCTAGGGGTCTCATTAGGAGAAAGATAGTTCATCATGATTGGATAAACATGGGGTCTGCTCTGTGATGATGAAACGTGACTGGCTTGGATTTAAAGGTATTTTATGTGGATTGTCCTGACAAGTCTGTAATAATTGGTTGTAATAACTGAGTTTTCACCCCCCGCCCCCAAAAAAACCGTTACTCTAGCATTTTTCCTTGTATTCGAGCTGTCTGGACAACGTAGATTCGTCTTCTGATTACCAATTAACCCAGCCTATTCGCTGGGTGATTCGAGTTCGATTCTTACAACAGCCTCTTTCCATTTTCCTATTCCTTTTCAATTCTCGAGAAAGGTTCAGATATTTATTCAGGTTTCACTCGTAATGGTTCTAGCTAAACAAGCTTGCTAACCATTACACGATGTCAAAGTGCCCATAAATGGTTTTCTAAGCATTGTTTAGATGTGGTACAAAGCCGAAAGTTTGGGACACCAAGTGAGGTAGAAATTACTACTCAGTCGATATTTGTTGTATCGAGACAAGATTGCTAACGATGTCGAAGTTTCCATAAATGATTTTCTAAGTGTAGCTTAGATGTGGCACAAGGCCGAAAGTGTGGGTTACCGATTGAGGAGAGAACTCACTGTTCAGTCGTAATTCGTCTAGCGAAACACGCTTGCTATCCATGACACCGCCTCGAGGTGCCCAAATGATTTTCTAAGTGTAGCTTATATGTGGCACAAGGCCGAAAGTGTGGGTCACCCATTGAGGAGAGAACTCACTGTTCAGTCGTAATTCGTCTAGCGAGACAAGCTTGCTAACCATACATTATAGGTGTTAATCGGATGCGGAATGATATACCAACATAACTGGAGATAATGTAACAAAGTAGAAAAGCTTGTTCAGACAGCATGTTTCGCCTCTTTAGGTCCGGCGTCTTCTAGTGGGAATGAGCGACAAATCTTGTGTGTAAGGAATTTACGTTAGAGATTTTGAAGAAGCGCTAATAAATGACTACATCAGATGTTACAACCAGAAAGAGATTTTTTTCTTTTTTTTTTTTTTTTTGTATTGAAGCCGTTAATGTCTGCTGGATTGGAAAATAGCCCACTTTGTATATTTCTTACACGGCGTTGCGCAACTAATGCTTTTTAGATGATCGATGATATTATATATAACTCTGTACAGACGATCTGAGACCGCGCTCATGCACAATTTCACTGATCATCGCCATAGCAATAGATATATAACGAAATATACAAAACATAGTAGAGTAAAGGAAAACAGAGCTGCAGAATTTGAAAAATATTTCAAATTCTGTTATGGACACAACAGATGGCCAAACAACTTTCTTCTCTTAATATTTATTATATAAATAATAATGATTATAGCTGACCACTCGTATTTGAGGATAGCCGTCCACTAGGGCGACCAGCCAATCCATACTGCAGACATTCGCTCAGACGATCTGAACAAGGCCAGCACACCCAAAACCTCGGTCACGATGACTTGTGACTTCGTGCTAGCTCAGCTATCGACGGTCTCCCAGGTGTTCCGTCTACCCAATTTAACTCATAAGGCTTGGAAAAACTCATGGTATGGTTTTCTGACACTTTCCGAAGGTGTCGCATTATATAGACAGATATGAACAGATTGAGATAGGTAAGAAAAGACTGAGATAGATAGATCGATCGCTAGATAGATAGAAACAGACTGAGATCGATCGATCGCTAGATAGATAGAAACAGACTGAGATAGATAGATAGAACCTTTTATTTCGTCCACCGGAGTAGATTGTTCTAGTTCCAAGTACCATGCCTCTTCTGGATATGTCAGTTTCAGTTATCTCCCTTTGATAAATCAACTGAGATAGATAGATCGATCGATCGATCGCTAGATAGATAGAAACAGACTGAGATAGATAGATAGATAGATAGATAGATAGATAGATAGATAGATCTATTTACATTTTGCGGACTGTTGTCCGTATGTTTGTTGTCATATTCACGACGTTTCGGCTGTTTTAAGCTCCGGCCTTCTTCAGGTGATTAGAATTTCGAACCGAACCTTTTATTTCGTCCACCGGAGTAGATTGTTCTAGTTCCAAGTACCATGCCTCTTCTGGATATGTCAGTTCAGTTATCTCCCTTTAATAAATCAACTCTCCAAGTTTTTTGTTCGCCTCTGCTGTAGACAGGTATTGAACTCACAACTCTTTGGTTCAAGTTACTGGATTACTTCAACCTACGCTTTTATCTAATAGGCCATATAGACAGATAAAAAAAAGCTAATGGCAGTAGAAACTAATAAGGTTATTTATTATCCTTCCTCAAAAATTCCAACGCACATTAGTACAGAACTTGTCTCTCATTCCGAACTGAAGATGCCTGCGAGATGGAGACAAAAGCTGTTATCTGCGCAAATCTTTTCACGTTGTCTCCACCAAAAAAACATTTTTAAAAAATCGAGCTCTGCTTTCTATAAAAAATAAAAAAAAAGAAAGAACGACAATTCAAAATGAATCCCGTAGGCAATTTCGGGTTACCTGGATGTCTCTATCTATAAAAGGCACGATATGTGTGTGTGTGTGTGTGTGTGTGTGTGTGTGTGTAACGAATGCACGGTCGCAATTTTGAACGGATTTGCACCAAAATTTACATGCACATGCTCCAAGTTAGCAAAAAGGCCAAGACCGACGTTGCATTTCCCAATTCCCATCGATAGTGGAAATAATCGATTTTTTCATGCTTCTACGGCAGTTTTCATGTAGTTTGCGGCCATTTTCTACTGGCCAGAGTGAGAACCTATAACTGGCTGCTACGAATAGGAAGGAAGATTCTATTGGCCAGCGTGAGAGCCAACAGCTGACTGACACGAATGTTAACTAGCATGCTAGCATGCAAAAAAAATCGATAGCTGCATTTGTCACAAGTGGGAAAAAATTAAATCTGCATGGCACTTTACTCCAATTGGCTCATTCGCTTGCTTAAACTCAACGTTGATCCTGATTGCGCAGAACTGGGTTGGATGTGAAAAAGTATTTGTTGTTAACATTCTTTTTTCATTTGGTTTTTCCAGTTACGAATCCTTTTTTAAAGCTGATCGTTTTGTGTTCATTTTGTTTAGTTCTTTTTTCGTAACAGAATTAATGTTTAGAATAGAGCTTAGAAAAAATTCGCAGTGAGAGATAGGCAAGAAATAAGGCATGTAGCAACATCAGCACGGCAAAGGGCACTCCTTTAAAGGCAAGGAAGGGCAAAAATATTTTAAGTCAAGTGATAGTGATTGCTGTATGAGTCGTACGATTTTTGAATCAAGCACGGGCAACGTCGGGTCATGCTGCTAGTTTAAATAATGACAAGCTGATACAAATGATTCCCTTCGCCTTTTAAACGCTTCCTGGTCGTATATTCCAGAATACAAGATGGCGGATCCAATAGTTCAGTCCAAGAAATGTAAAAACTGTAACAGCAACAAATGTAAAAAGTTCAAAAACGAGTTAGTGGGGGTGTCCGTGAAGTTTCACAATTTGGGTCATCGAGGGTTTCAGGTTTTTAACACTAGACCCCCTCTCTTTAGTTTGTCTTTCAAGGCTAATGAACCACCCTGCAACTAGATAAAACTTCATGCACTGGTAGCTCAATCCTATATTTGTGGACGGTGTCAGCACCAACCAATCGTCTTCAGGCATTGATTAACCGCTTTCTATTTAAATATATTTTAGCTGTTTGTCTTTTGTTTATTTTTTTGGCGGGGAGGGACCAGTAAGTTCTCAGATATCTGATGGGAGCGAATATCTATTTCTTATTTCTGTTTTCCATTATTCTTGCTAGTATCAAAAACATATACAGCAAAATTGTTCAATTGTTAGATTAAGCTTTGAATCGTTGTAATTAGAAATGATTAAAGATATACTACTGGAATTCTCCGAGGTTTTTACAATACTATTGAACTCTACTTTAAGCAATAAGAATGTAAAATTACTCTCCAGGCTTAAAAGAAGCATCATGATGAAATCGATCCTAAAAGAAAATGACATATTTATAATTAATTAATCATAACTAAGGATCGGAAGCCCATGAATTATTGAAATAAAGTCCATATATATATATATATATATATATATATATTATTCCAGGATCGTTTTCCAACTTATTCAAGATGATCTTCGCCCCCTCTAACATTCTAACTTTCTGTCCTGGAGCAACAAGATGCCTCACACGTTTCACGTACGACTTCATTTTCAAGTCTTTTTTCACTACTCTTTGCACAATCATACCTGAAAGTCCTCTCTCACATGCCAAACGTCTTATGGATTGATTTGGAACTTTTCTAATTGATCTCCGTAGTTCTAAGTTGAAATGAAGATCACTCTTTCTGTTGTGACCTCCTGATCCAGTTTTACGCTCTACTGTTCTCTCTTTTTCACCGTACTCTTAATGGTTCTTGAATGGACTTTGAAGATGGAAGCCAGAGTATGAATGTTGGTACCATTACTGAAGGCCTGAATGATCTTTTTCCTCTCACCATTGCTCAGTTGGGAAGACGTAGTGGGCCTGACACAAAACGATTTTATCCTGTTCACTTTCTAGCTGAATAACCCAAAGGAATATTCAGTTATTCTTACGACAAATGATACCAAAATGGCTAAACTTCTTATCTGAAAACCTGGAAAAAGGAAGTTCAATTAGCGTTACAGTTTTTTGGATATATGTACTAGTGAGCCAACCAAAATGAGCTGACTCATTTTATAGTTCACCAATAGAAGCATTAACCAATCAGAAAGCTGAAAATATTCAATCCGACGTGTTTAAAGGCAGCCATTTTGTTTTTTCTCCCAAAATATGTTCGCTGCCAACCTCTGATATTGAACACATTACGGACTTTACTGGATTCTATATTCAGAGACTACGGAAAACATGGTTAACAACAGCTTAGTTGGGTTTTTTTTTCCGATATTAAACATTTTGTTGGGTGGACAATTTTGCTGTTACACGATTTGGACAATTTTGCTGTTTCACTCGGTATAAAAACAAAAAAAAAAACGCTTTAAAAAATACTTACAATATAAGAATATTGTTTTGATGACTATTTACTTACCTTCTTTCTCCACAAGCATATAGACACATTATTTAGAGTGGCACTGATACTACCATTTTCTTTGATATAATCACAACTTTTCGGGCGTTGCGTTCTTCGACCTTCTTCAGGGGTCTTTCAATCCAGGTAAACTTCAGGGAATTTAGAACTGAAGCCTTTATTTAATTTATGTGGGTAGATTTTTCGCCTTTCTGCTTATGTGTAGAAATAAATTACATTTTGTTCTTTTTTTAGTACTCTTCAGTTAGCGGTCGACATTTTTTCTCCTGAGTCTGAACCAGCCGGTCCCATGATTGAACTGACAATTACTATACTACCAATTTCATGAACCAGCGACTTAATCCTGTAGGAATCGGGTCGGGTACTAAATGAGCAGCTATAAATAAGAATAAGACGCGATATTCCGAGACATTGGAAACAATCTACCTAATCTAAATAGCTTATGTCTAAATTTCTGACAAAGGCCGAAACTTTGTGATAATGAAACACAAATGAGCCTATTAGTCCGATTGTAAATAATGTGAAGTTCACACTCATATTAAAAATTCAGACAGAAATTAAAATATGTCCACTTCATTCCCATCGTTGAAGAAAGAAATTTTCAGAAAATAGAAGTGTGTCTTGGTACATTTGACGTGTATCTGTAGAAAGAAAGGCTAGCCAAAGTCGAAATACCGATTGATCTATCCCGAGGACAAATTAGAGGAATTGAAGATGGGACTCGGATCGATTCAATCCTATATTTAGGGGATGGTGTCTGCAGTATTTTAAAGATATTTCAAATTCTGTTATGAATGAACAGATGGTCAAACAACTTCTTTTCTTTCTTTCTTAATATATATTAGATAGATATATGCGAACAGATTGACATAGATAGATAGATAGATAGATAGATAGATAGATAGATAGAATATATATATAT